TGGCTACTCGGAAGGCTGAGGCAGAAGGATCGCCGGAGCCCAGCAGGCGAGGCTGCGGTGGCCGGGAGCGGCCACTGCACTCCAGTCTGGGCGACCGAGTGAGACTCCAACTCAAAAAAAAAAAACCCTTTTCCAGAAGTTAGCTGCTGAGCTGCCCCAGTTGAGGCCATCCTCTCTGGGCTTCTCTCAGCTTCTCCTGACCTGATACCCTAGGGCACTCCATTGCAAGGAACAGCAGTTCTCCTCATGCTTCCCTGCCACCAAGCCTTGCAAACTGTGTGGGAGATGCGAGGGTAATGCCTGCTGGTGGCAGGCTCCCTGCATATGCGGCCTGCCTGCATCTCCAGCCTCACCTGCCAGCCTTCCATCACCCTGTTTCTCCTTTGGAAGCTTCCAGTAGAGCTTGGTCACCTAATTTGTGGGACATGCTGTACAGCTTTATGCCTCTCACTCTGTTCAGGTTGTTCACTTGGCCTAGAATGCTCATGCCCCTTTCTGTGCCTGGCTAACCCCTCTTCCTTTGGGCTGGACCCAGGCATCACCCTCACGATGCCTTCTTGCATTCCTATCTTAGTCCATTCAGGCTGTCATGACAATATATTATACACTGGATATTTTGTAAGCAACAGAAATTTATTTCTCACAGTTCTGGAGCCTGGAAAGTCCAAGGTCAAGGCATCGAGATTCAGTGTCTGGTGAGGATCCACAATGCCTTCTTGTGGTGTCTTCACAGAGTGAAGGAATGAGGGGTCTCTGACCTCTTTTATAAGGGGCACTTATAAGTGCCATTTGTATAGTTATATAAAAAAAGTTTATCCACTTTTGTATAGTTCCATTTGTGAAGGACACCCCTATGACCTAATTGCCTCCCAAAGGCCATACCTCCAAATACCTTCACCTTGGGGGTTAGGATTTTTTTGTTGTTGTTGTTAGAGTCTCACTTTGTTGGCCAGGCTGGAGTGCAGTGGCAGGCTCACAGCTACCATAGCCTCTATCTGCTGGGTTCCAGTGATCCTTCCACCTCAGCCTTCCAAGTATGTGGACCTGCAGATGCACACACCACACCAGGCTAATTTTTTGATTTATTGTAGAGACAAGATCTCACCAAGTTGCCCATGCTGGTCTTGAGTCCCTGGGCTCAGGCAACCCTCTCGCTTCTACCTCTCAAAGTGCTGGGATTAAGGCATGAGCCATTGCTGGGAGTTAGGATTTCAACATATGAGTTGGGGTACGGGGCACACAAACATTCACACCATAGCATCTCCCAAACTGAGTTCCATATCTTCCCTGGATCCACTGTGACACTGGGCGCCTCACCATGTGTCACAGTTGTCTGCTATGTGACTCTTATCCTGGATCTGGCTCACCCCCACAGCCTCAGCACCCACCTCAGGGCCAGGAGCTGAGCTGGTGTCCAGAACCCCCTCTGTCCCCTCAGGTACTGGAAGTTGGACCCTGCCCAGGTGTACACTAGCGGGCCCAATGCATGGGACACTGCAGTGCATGACGCCTCTGAGGAGTACAAGCACCGCATGGTAGGTGGGCTGGGGCAGGGCCAGCTCCTGAGGTCAGAACCAGGGTGGGAGGTTCCCTTACAGTCTGTCCTGACCCAACCCTTCTGGCACCTCCAGCACAATCTCTGCTGTGACAACTGCCACTCGCATGTGGCATTGGCCCTGAACTTGATGCGCTACAACAACAGCACTAACTGGAATATGGTGACGCTTTGCTTCTTCTGCCTGCTCTATGGGAAGTACGTCAGGTGAGCTGCCCTCCTGTCCGCCTGCCTGCCCACACGTTCTCCTAGGGCTGCTTTCCCAAGGATTCCAGAAAGACCATTTCTGGAGTCCCTCAGTCAGCAAGGACAATCAAAACAGATGCCAGTTTTGGAACTGTGAAGGTTCTAAAATGATTAGCTGACATCCTGGTGGAGAGAGCGGCTGTGCTGAAGTCCTGCTCCACTGGGCAACAGCCCCAGCCTCTCTAAGCTGCTGCTGTCCTTGGTAAAAAGGGGGCAATGATCCTGACTCCTCAGGAAGGCTTTGAGTCTGCAGTGCCCTGTGCTCAGGTAAAGTGAACAGATGGTTCCTCACAGGATGATGTGGTGACTGCCACCACAGAGTCCCTTCCCAAGCATCCCTTGTCAGAGGCAAGGTTCTGAGCAGGTGGACCACAGCAGTAGCCCAGGAGGACCTTTGAAGGCACAGCCTCATGATCTGTGAGGCTGAAGATGTTTGTCTCAATTCAGAGGTAAAGAGAGCTCAGAGAGATTGAGTGAGTCACCTGTGGACCCAAAAGCATGGCTGCAGCAGAGCTCAGATTAGAAGGCAGCACACATCTGGGCTAGCCTGGCTGCTTCCCTTCGAGCTTTCCTCTTAGCTGCACCCATCATTCATTAAGAGCTTCTGACAAAAGAGACTCTCGGAGGTATTTTTAAATCCTGGGTGACTTTTAGAGGTCCCTTGAGAAGAACATTAACTGTAATCACACAAAGACAGAGAGCCAGGGTTGAACCCAGGCCCCTGCCTCCCAGCCCCTTGGCTCCCACCACAACACTGTATCTACTCCTACCAGCCCCACCCTCTCAGCAGGCCCTGTTATGAGGGCCCTGGGCAGAGGGCACTCATGGCTTTCACACCCAAACTGAAGTTCCTGGTCTTGCTAGAAACCTCTCCCCAGAGGCATGTTAAGGATGGAGCCAGTGAGGCCCAGAGAAGGTGAGAATGCCTACTGTACTCAGCCAGCGAGGTGGCAGAAGATCTGCACCAGGAGCCTGGAGCAGACCCTGCCCAGGACTATGGTTGGAGGTCCTCTTTAGCAGCCTTGGGGTGGCAGCCCCGGCAGGCTCTGTGGATGCACAGGGCTCTGGGCCGCGTATCTGCTCAAAGCCCTGCCCATCTGTGCGCTCTCTCTCTCTCTCTATCTCTCTGCCAGCGTTGGGGCCTTCGTGAAGACCTGGCTGCCCTTCGTCCTTCTCCTGGGCATCATCCTGACTGTCAGCCTGGTCTTTAACCTCCGGTGATGGCTGCCCTGTAGTCCCGAACCCACCAGGCTCCAGAGGAGGCTGCTACCAGCCCCTTTTGGTCCAAGATTACTTCTCACCCCGAAAGGCAGGGTTGGGCCTGCTGTTTTGGACATAGGGTTCTGGGCTCAGTGGGATGGAAGGGTTGAGGATGAGCATGGGACGGGTGGTTATTGTCTCACTGGCCACTCAGAAGCCTTCCGTCCCCTCCTCCCCAGGCATGTGACCCTGGTCCTTGAGGCCCCCTCTTTATTCTGCTAGAAAGGCCTTAGCTTCCCTCTGTAGGACTTCTCCTGACACTGCCTGCTGGGCTCCTGCCTAAGCCCTGTGCCCGGTATGGGAAGGGGAGGACATTTAGTCTCACTGGACAAGGCAGTATTGGGACCAGAGCTGGATTAGGAGCCTGCTCTTCTTGTGTTAGCTCTGGTCCCAGGGTGGGCAGGGGAATACTAGAAGTCTCTATAAGCTAAGCTGCCCTGGGACCTTCACCACTGGCCTCTAGAATGGCACAGGGGGCTGGCTGGATGCCTCTGTCAGTTGTCTGCCAGCAGCTGCATGGGGGAAGTATGTCTCCATCTGGCGTCCTCCGGCCCATGCAGCCCACCTTCACCCTCCCAGGGCCTCCCAGCATTGGGCCCATCTCCCCCTGCAGTTTGGGGCCAAGAGGTGAATGGAACCAACATGTGCCAGAGTGGTACGGTAGACATCAATGCCAACAACACTCGGCCCTAGCCCCATCTGTAGGCCTTGTGCTGGTGATGGCTCCCTTGGGTCCAAAATACAGGATGCCTGCCAGAACAGCTAGTGCCATCAGGGAGCTGGAGGGGTCTGTTCTCCCCACCTGTCTACAGGCCCCCTTTCTTCAGGTTGTCAAGAAGGGCCCTTGCTGCTGGCCCCCTGCTCCATGGATTCCTTGGAGGGGCTTCCTGGGCAGGACAATAAAGAGTTTTGATTCCAGGTCGTGCCCTTTCATTTTCTCCCTCTCTGAGGCCCCTTGCCCCTACACTCATGTCTTCTTGGTGTTCTTGGGAACCTCTGCCCCTTGGCCAGCAGGGTTGCAAGCAGGATTGAGTCTACATCCCATGCCTGGAGCTTACAGGCTGGCAGCATCTCCAGGTATATCCTGCTGTGCTCAAGGCTGTGGGAATTCCCTGCTGTTACATACCTACCATTCCAAAGTTTTCTCCTTGAGGCAAGTGACTGTTGAAGCCATTGTCCCTATTGGGGAAGACTTGGCAGTAGGATTGGGGTTGGGGCTAAGTAGGATTTTCACTGGGCAGACTATAACCCTGGACCTGTCTCCCCCAGGAGTGCACAGTTGGATAAGACAGGAACCTGGCCTGCCATGTCCATTGTGTTTGGCCCCCACGATCATGTCACAACCCTGCTCCATGGCAGTGGCCTTCGAGGCCTTCCAGTCTCCTCATGATCCACACACCCTGCTCTCAGGCCAGACAGGGCAGCCCCTGCCTCCAGCTCCCCCACCTCTAGTCCTTTTCTTTCCACCTATTGAAGTCGCAGCCTGCCTTCCCACAGCCCAACTTAAAATCTCCTTCCTCCTTGAAGCCCTTCCCAGCCCTGCCCATGTGGCACTTCAGTTGAACTAGCCAAGGATTTAGTCTCTGAATCCTGAGGGCCCTTTGTGCTCAACCTGAGGGTGGCCTTGAGGACAGGCTCTAGCAGCTGGCCATGGGACCCTGGATTAGGTGTCAGCCGGCTCACCCCAGACCCTGCAGTGCTATGGCTTCCCAGCCTGGGACTTCTCCAGGGCAAGACAGAGGTGCCCTCTCCCCACTTAACAGTGATTTCATTTTCTTTTTTGTTTGTTTTGGAGTTGGAGTCTCTGTCACCCAGGCTGGAGTGCAGTGATACAATCATAGCCACCCCAGCGTCGACTTGCTGGGCTCTGGCGATCCTTCCACCCCAGGCTTAAAAGTGGCCAGAACTACAAGTGTGTGCTACCACGTTCAGCTAATTTTTTTATTTATTGTAGAGACGAGGCCTCACCAAGTTGCCCCGACTGGTCTCAAACCCATGGGCTCAGGCAATCCACTCACCTTGGCCTCCCAAAGTGCTGGGATTACAGGTTGAGCCAACAAGCCCAGCCAATTTCATTTTCAAAAACCTGTTTTGCATATTGGATTCATCTGGGAGTTTGTTGGGGGAAAAAACTCAGTACTGAGGATAACCACAGCAGAATAGATATAAAAAAGTTTCAAAGCTTGCTTAGGCCCAGCAGAACTTAAAATTTGTTTTAGGGAAACAGGACATAAAATTGTACCATGAAAGTCACCAGAGAGCCAGGCTCGGTGGCTCAGCCTGCAATCCCGTGATTTTGGGAGGCTGAGGTGAGTGGATTGCCTGAGTCCGTGGGTTCGAAACCCGCCTGGGCAGGCGAGACCTCATCTCTACAATAAATCAAAACTTAGCCGGGCGTGGTAGCGTGCACCTGTAGTTCCAGCTACTTGGAAGGCTGAGGTGGAAGGATCGCCAGAGCCCAGCAGGTCGAGGCTGCGGTGGCCGGGAGCAGCCACTGCACTCCAGTCTGGGCAACAGTGAGACTCTAACTAAAAAAAAAAAAGAAAGTCACCAGAGCAGTGCTCAGCCTTGTAAGAAAGCATCATGTGGGTTATTCTTAAGGTAGGTGCCATATCATCCCATTTCACAGATGAAGAAGTAAGCACAGAGAAGCAGTGATTTGCTCCAGGTCACAATGGGGAACCGTGGTTCAAACCCAGCAGCCCAGCTCCTGAGCTCCCATCAGAACCACCCGGCGAGTGACCTCGCTGGAGCACAAGGAGTGAAGGTGGGGAGGGGCTGTTTCGTCTAAGAATGCAGGTTCTGTGACCAAAAAGGAGAACAAATGCTGGAGGTGAAGAAAAGAAAGCTCTTCTCGCTTCAGTCCTGCGAGATGGCTGCTATTGTCCCTACCCAGAAAGGGAGAGTGAGGCTTACAGAGATTGTCATTGATCCAAGGCCACAAGGGAACAGTGGCAGAGCCAGAATTTTAACCCAGATCTACTGGCCTCTGGGACCCTGCCTCGTAACTGTGGGACGTTGCCTAGAGACTGACTGCTGCGCTGAGACACTGAACTCGCTGAGGCTCAGCTAATCCTGGAGGGGGCGGGTGCCTGGGGAAAGCACTCTTGCGGGAAACACAAAAGGACCTGGGGTGTTAAAGGGACGGGAAGTCAAGTCTGTAACTAAGGCTCTAAGGGGACAGGCAACAGCGGGCAGACCAGATTCCCTACAACCCCCAGGATCAGGCTGAGGCATAGGCTGTCCAGGGAGATGGTGAGGTTTCTGCAAGTGAGTGTGTCTCAGGGAGGCTGGGCCTGGTCTGGAGATAGATGGAGGGTTCCCTGGCTGTCTGCAGGCACCTTCTGAACCTGGGAAATGACAAAAAGATCTTGGAAAGGGCCCTCTGACAGCTGTGCACTGAAGGGCTGGAAGGCCGGGTGTGGCAAGGAGGCGGGAGTAGAGGCTGAGCAGGGATGAAGACAGCTCGGATGGAAGAGTGAGAGCGCCTGGTGTGGGCTGCATCTGCAAGCGACAGGAAGCAGCAGGAGGCCTGGGGGCTGGACCATGGAGGCTGGCTACGCAAGTGGAGCCTTGGAGATGAGAGGAGGTTTTGGGTGGGAAGGGGCCAGATGAATTCAGGCTGCAGTGACAGCAGGAGAGATGGCTGGAAGCATCAGCGTCAAGGAGAGTCACAGCTAGAGGACAGGAGAGGGAGGGAAGACTAGAAGCCGGAAGACCAGACAATGAAGTTTCTTGCCTTCCGGGGGAAGAGCTGCTGAGAGGTGGGAGGGGTCTAGAAAAGCATCTGGGTGGGGGGAGCTGGGACCAGGACGGCAGGAGAAGGTGAGGATGCTGTTGGCTGCTCCTTCCATGTCAAAGGCCTTGATGGAGGAGGTGGCATCACAGTAACCACTCCCACAGTGGCCACTCAGTGGAGAGTACATATATATGTAGGTGCACATGTGTATTTATTAGGAGTCTGTGGGATCTCACTGAATTGTAGTGAAAACCCTCTGAGGAGGGATTATTACCCCTATTTAGTAGATACGGAAAAAGAGAGTCAGAAAATTAGATTATTAATTCCTTGCAAGACATAAGTGGGGAAGGCTGGACCTTGGGCTGGAGTGGAGGAGGGCCCTTCAGTCTTTCCGAGTTGTGGTGGAGCTGGTTCTGATGAAGGAGGAGGCGTGGGATTTTGCTTAGAATCTGGCCCTTGTCCTACCTCTCCCAGGGGTCTGTGAGGCGCCCTCTAATCCACTGCCCCAGGGTTGGGGGAGGAGCCAGGAGCAGGGCAAGCAGGATGAAGTAGGCTTGGGAGGAGTCAGAGAGCTTCCACCTCCTGGCCCAGAACAAGACAGCCCCAGAGGTTCATAGTCCTTAGTCCAGTGTCATCGAGGGCCCAAACCTTCTATCTCAGGGTGGGCAGAATCTGGGTGCAGAATGGGATATTCAGAGGGGCTCCCCATAGACAGAGGGAATGGGACCCTCACCTTGGCACAAGAAGAGTCCAGGCCTCCTGGAACAGATGGGGTCCAGGATGGCAGCGGGGACAGAGAGACCTGCTCTGCTGTGGCCAGTGCTTCCTGGAAGTGCATGGGGACATAGGGGTGGGGGGTAGTGGTTGCTGAAATGGCCATGGGTGCTGGCTATTGGAAAGGGGACACCTGGCACCAACTATGTGCTAGCTTATACCAAGCACTTTCATTTCCCTTATCATAGGCTCCTTGCATTCTGCCTTCCACAGTTTGCGCAGGAATAAATGGAAGCTCAGAGAGGTTAAGAGACCTGTTTAAGATCACACACACACTGGGCAGAGCAGGGACCCTGCTCAGGGATGTCTAACGGCAAAGTCTGCAATTCTTCCTTACCCTGGTGCTAAGAAAAAAAGGTCTTTAGCTGTGCTTTCAAAGCACTTTCCTATCAGCTCTGCCACGGGCAGGGTGGGGCTGCTGCCCATTCTACAGAGGGACTGGGACCTGCTTATCCAGGGAGTCTATGTGGAGCTGGGGCCAAGCCCCAGCCTCCTTGCCTGCTGCGGGGGCACACCCCGGGGAGCCGGGAGTCCAGGCCCGGTTTTGCATCAGGCCCTGCCGAGGTGTTTCCTCCTCCGCCGTGTTGGGGCAGCTGCTGCAAGGCTGCTGGTTGAGTCAGCCTTAGTCCCTCACTGCTCTTCTCCCACCCCTGAAACTTGGCTGCCAGGGGAGACCGAGCCACCTACGAAGGTGTCCTACCATACTGGACCCCTTACAGGTAACACACATTGGTGCCAGGGTCCCCTGCCAGGGTCTGGAGGGGCAGGCACTGCCATTTGGTCCTGAGCACCCTAGGGACCTTTGGGTGCGGGAGGTGGGAATATGGAACAGCCAGACAGGACAGATAGAGACCCTCCTATTGACCAGTGGGTTGTCCCATAGTGTTGGAACAGCAGAGAGGAAGAGTCACTTCATTCTGCCTCTAGAGAGAGGGAACTTTGGGGACAGGTTCTGCTGGGGACGCCAGGCTCAGATGCTCATGGCCCAGCCCAAGCAGAACTGCAGGACAAAACAGCCTCAGTTCTGCTGCATTCTGCCCCCCCACCTCCACACTCAGACACACACAAATCTGGTGGCCCCCAGGACACCAGAGGACACCCCAGAGCACACAGCCTGGTCATACATACAGCACAGAAGGAAATGCACACTTACACAGCACTGTCACCCAGAAAGTCACCAAACACACCACACAGACAGTATAGTCAGCCATGCAGCATCGCCCTGTGACAGGACACACAGACACACACACCAGCTACATTGGCACAGAGACCTCCCAGCATGCAGACATCCCCACCGTACCCAGACTCACACAGAAACACAGCATAACACAGAGAGGGGAACTTGGGCTCACACACCAGCCACAGAAGAGCCTCAACTGAGTCTGCACCACCCAGCGCCTTGAACATAGTTCAGGAAAAGTGTTCATGCCGAGCACACAGGTGTTATACACAATACAGACATGCAGAAACCCCAGACTCCTGGAGGAGGGGGCCTGTGGGGGGAGGGGCTAACCAGGGCTTGGACACTGACTCAGTTGGGAGGGGACAGAGCAGAGCTCAGGAGGCAGAGGGCACAAGCCAGGACCTGCCTGCTGAGCCGCTTCCTTTCATCCCAACTCCGCCTGGAGCCCTGGCATGGCAGGGGTGGGAGGAGAAGAGAGACCGCCCAGTGGGCTCAGGCCAGGCCGAGTCATGGGCCCCTTGCCATGTCCACACGCCCCTCGGGGCTGGGCAAATGTTTTCCTTCCGGAGTCGCTGTGGTACCTGGGCACGGACTGCCGTGGCAGCCTAGGCCTCCAATGCCGGGACCCCAGCCAGGTCTTAGGTCGGGGGCTGAGGGAGCCATGTGGCCAGAACAGAGGAGCCCAGGGGCTCTGGGCAAGCACGAGGGCAGGGCTGGCGGTGGGGGCACCCCTGGGCTGGAGGCCTCAGTGGGAATGGGTGCTGTGGTTACCTCGGGGGAGGAAGTTGGGGTGTGAGCTGGGGAGGAGGTTGCCTCAGACAGGAAGGCAAATGGGCCAGGGCAGGGTGGAGGTGAAGCGTAGCAGGAGAGGACCCAGGTTGGGAGGTTCCCAGAGCAGGAGGTGAGCAGATGTGTGTGTGTTTCTGGGTGTGTGTGTGTGTGTGTGTGTGTGTGTGTGTGTGTGCGCGCGCGCACGCTCATGTGCACACACATTCTCATGTGTGTACAGGTATATTTCTGTATTTAATTAATCAAACTTTTACCAACCATCTATTGTGTGCAAAGTACTGATTTTAGAGTGATTCCGTCTCCACCTCCAAGGAGCTCACAACCCAGTTAGATGAGCAATATGTGTGTGCAAAAGCCTATGTGATTTGTGTATATATAGGGACATATTTGTCATATCAGACTTATTCTTGTATAGGTGAGCCTATCTGGGTGGATCTTTGTTCCCTTCTGTATGCACATGCTGTGAGCAGGTTTAAGAAACATGTGTGAGGCTGGGAGTGGTGGTTCATGCCTGTAATCCCAGCACTTTGGGAGGCTGAGATAGGAAGATAGCTTGAGCCCAGGAGTTTGAGACCAGCCTAGGCAACATAGCGAGACCTTGTCTCTACAAAAAATTTTAAAATTAGCTGGGTGTTGTGACATGTGCCTATAGTCCTAGCTATTCAGAAGACTGAGGTAAGAGGAGTTGGAGGCTGTGTTGAGCCATGATCGTGCCACTGCATACCAGCCTGGGTGACAGAGATTCTGACTCAAAAAAAAAAAAATAGTGTGTATACACATCTCTCTTGGGCATGGGTCCTGGCCTGTGTCTACAGAGGTCCCTTCATGGGGGAACAGGTGTGCATGTACCTGTCTTTATACAGATGTCAGTGCACATGTTTGACTGTGGGCATTTGTGTCTACATGGATCAGTGTATGTACATTGTGTCTCTGTGTTGTTCTTTGCGGTTCTCTGTGTCACTCTTCCTAAGGGTTCGCACATGTGTGTGTATGTACACTTCCTCAAGTGTCCCTGGGTGTTCATGGGCCAGTGTATGCAAGTGTCCATGCATGCCTCTCACCCACCTTGACCTCAACCCTCCTGGGGTGTGCCCTAGCCAACCCCTGGCCTATATTTGGGGAGAAAAGCACAGTTGCCTCTAGGATGTGCTATGTATTTGTTGTGCAGGGTTTGACTGACCCTCTGCCCCCAGGAAGCCACATGTGCCCAGCTGGGGTACAGTCCCAGCTGATGCCCCAGAGGGGCCACCCATCTCAGCAGGGGCTTTGGGCCCTGCCTTCCCTCTCCATGGCGCATGGGCCAGAACCTGAGGCCGAAGGATTGCTAGACCTCAGCTTCCTGACGGAGGAGGAGCAAGAGGCCATTGCTGACGTCCTCCAACGAGATGCCCTCCTGCGCCAGCTGGAGGAGGGGCGGGTCAGGTAAGGCAGGGCAGAGCCTGGCCAGGGGAGCTCTGAGGCTTGAGCAGTCCCCATTCTGCTCCCTACTGACAAGCTACCTTGGCTTTGCCCTTTGGTCCTCTCTAGCCTTGCCCAGCTCAGAGTGTATCACCTCTCCCAGGGTGCACCTGCTTTCTTGCTAGCCTCCCTGCCTCTAGGCTTGTCGCCTCCAGTTCCCTAGACCTGTCCTTAATATCCCTGCTGAAACCTCCTCTGGCGCCACAGCCCCTAGGGTCAAGGGCAAGTTCCTAAGAGTGGTCCCCAAAGCCTACCTGATTGGTCTCTGCCAGCCTCTCCCATCTCATCTTTCACCATAACCCCCAACCAGCACACATACACAAAGTATTCATGACAGCCACTCAGATGCTCCCCAGTCCAAGCCTGTGCTGTTCCTTCTTCCTGGAAAAGCACAGTGGCCAAGGACCATGGGAGTTACAAGCAGAGCTTGAAGACAGACACTTTCTAGCTGTGTAACCTTGGGCAACTTACCTGAGCCCCCTGAGCACCATGCTTCTCATCTGCAAAATGGGGCTGAGTCCTACCTCATAGAATTAAGAGGGACTATGTAAGTATGGCCCCGATAATCACGTAGTGAATAATAATTATTATTCTTCCTTACCTGGAGAATTTTAATTTGTCCTTTACGAAGTAATTCAGGCCGTGTTCTGTGGCTCAGCCTGTAATCCCAGCACTTTGGGAGGCCGAGGTGAGTGGATTGTCTGAGACCACAGGTTTGAGACCAGCCCAGGCAACTTGGTGAGACCTCGTCTCTACAATAATTCAAAATTAGCCAGGCATGGCAGTGCGCACCTGTAGTTCCGGCTACTTGGAAGGCTGAGGTGGAAGGATTGCCAGAGCCCAGCAGGTTGAGGCTGTGGTGGCCAAGAGGCATGCCACTGCCCTCCAGCCTGGATGACAGAGTGAGACCCAACTCAAAAAAACAAAAAAGCCGGGCTCGGTAGCTCAGCCTGTAATCCTGTGCTTTGGGAGGCTGAGGTGAGTGGATTGCCTGAGCCCGCAGGTTCGAGACCCACCTGGGCAACTTGGCGAGACCTTGTCTCTACAATAAATCAAAAAACTTAGCCGGGTGTGGTAGTACGTGCCTGTAGTTCCAGCTACTTGGAAGGCTGAAGTGGAAGGATCGCCGGAGCTCAGTAGGTTGAAGCTGTGGTGGCCGGAAGCGGCCACTGTACTCCAGTCTGGGCAACAGAGTGAGACTCCAACTCAAAAAAAAAAAAAAAAAAGCAATTCAGATGTCACCTCCTCTGGGAAGCCCTTCTGGAATTTTCACAGGCAGAGTTGGCCTTTCTTCCACCCATCACATCATCTACCTGACTATACTATAGTTGTATCTTCTGAACTCCATCTCCCCAGCAGCCTGAGCTCCTCTAGAGCACGCATCAAGTCTGATTTGCTGTTGGGTCCCTGATCCCTGGTCCAGAGCCTGATCCAGCATGGGTGGAAGGAATGTTGCTTGGGTGAGTACTGACAGCCATACCCTCCTCCATCCTCCAGCAAGCTCCGGGCCTCGCTGGCAGACCCTGGGCAACTGAAGATTCTGACAGGGGACTGGTTCCAGGAAGCACGCTCCCAACGGCACCACAATGCCCACTTTGGTTCAGACCTCGTCCGCGCCTCTATCCGTAGGAAGAAGAGCCCCCAGGGTAAGAGGAGATCCCCGGGGAAGGGCAAGCCTTATGCAGTCCAGGGTGTTGTCCGTGGACAGGGAGAGAAGGTCCCCGTGCTCCAGTCCTGACTTCCCCCTATACTGTGTGTCTTTTGGGTGGGCAATGTCCTCCTCCATGGACATGAGGTGGGTGGGCATCTCCAGTCACAGCCAGACTTCCTGAGAATCAGGGCTCACAGAGCTTCTCACTGGGCCCAGGAGACCAGGCTCCAGGCAGTGACAGGGAAGCTGAGGCTGCTGGGAAGGAGACTGAAGAGGAGCCAGAGCCGAGGTGAGGAGGCACCAGGGAAAGGTGAGCAGGTGTCCACCAGTCACGGGGGTCCCTCCCCCTAAAAACCACCTCTCCCTACTCCCAGGCTCCCCACAGATGAGGGTCCCCAAGAGAGGCTCAGCGAGACTGAGGTAAACAACGAATGCATGAGTGAATACACAAGTACACAGTGCCCTGGAGTGGAGGTGAGTGTGCAGGGGAAGAGCTCAGCCTGGGAATCGGGAGACCTCGGACATTCTTCTTACCCTGTCAGCATCCTCCTGGGGCAGATGCTGGTATGGACTTGGCTTCTAAGGCAATGGCTGAGTGGCTATGAGGAGTGGGGTGGAGCTGAGCCGAGAAGGCCCAAGGACTCCACTGCCACTACGCCCCCACCCCATGGGGGCATGGGAGCCGGGCAGGCAGGCCCAGAGTTTGGATGTGAAGCAGTCAGACTGGTCCTGCAGCTGGTGCCAGCCCTGCCCTGAGGGCTGCCCTAAATCTGAAACTGTGGTAGCTGGCTGGAGCCTCTGACCTCTGACCCCAGCATGACCTTTGACTGCTCCCTCACTAGCCCCCACTGTGACCGCTGCCCCTTCCCTTCTTCAGGAACCTGATTTCCCACCGCCATATGTCCCGGTAAAGGCTTCAGGTCATGAAGAGCCCCAGGCCCAGGAAGGTGAGTGGGAGCGAGTGTTGAGGAGCACAGAGAGGTTTCGGGGGACAGAGGCAGCTCTAAGTAGCCCAACACCTGTGCTCACCCTCCTTTTCCCACGCCGGAGGTGGGGGCGACCCGTGTGGCCTCCATTCAGGCCCCAAGGCAGCACTGGGACCTCCATCTGTAGCTCACCAGGGTTGTAAACCAGTCCCTCCAAATTTGCCCAGGGGCGGGCAGGACAAGAGCTCGCTCAGCACCTTGTGCCCCACCCCAGCCCCTGGCCAAGGGGGCGTGCAGGTCTACGCCGAGGAGGCGGACCCGGAGCTGGAGCCCGCGTCGGGTGGAGGGCAGGAGCCGCGGTCTACCCCAGCCCAGGTAGGCGGGAGTGGCCCGCGGCGGCTCTCAAGACCCGGAGTGGATTCAGGACGGGGAGTGTTCCTGCCGGGGCTGCGAGCCGTCTGCGACCCAGCGCGGTCCGGGGAGAGGAGGGGAAAGAGGGGCATCCATCCCTGTCACTTTCCCCCGCTCCAGACCAAGGCCGCATCAGACATCCTGGAGAACGGGGAGGCGGCCTCGGGGTCCGGCCCCTCACTCGACCGCATGCTCAGCAGCAGCTCCTCCGTGACCAGCCTTAGCTCCTCCACGGTGAGGGGCTCTCCTGCCTCCCCTCCTATTCGGACGCGTAGGCCCTGCGCGTCTCTCCCGCGCCCGGGACCCGACGCTCCAGCCCGCAAGCAACCCACCCCGCTTCACTCCCCACATCCCCGGTCTGAGCCCTTGGCGCCACCCCCAGCCCCGACGTGACCCCTGCACGGCCTGACGCCCACCCCGCCCCGTCCGCAGCTGAGCGGCAGCCTGATGAGCCTGTCGGGGGAGGCGGAGGCGGTGCAGGTGCGCGGCTCGGTGCACTTCGCGCTGCACTACGAGCCGGGCGCCGCCGAGCTGCGCGTGCACGTGATCCAGTGCCAAGGCCTGGCCGCCGCCCGGCGCCGCCGCTCCGACCC